GGAAAACTGTCAGATGCAATTTTGATAAACCTGAGGTTATGTTTGCCTTTCAGAAGTATGAAATGAATGTCTATTTTTATTACAACTTCCACTGGTAACTGTGTAATTTCAGTATTTAGGCATTTGCATTTTTCTAACTCTAGATAATTAGCAAGAGAAAAGCCTTTTTTTCTCTCCTATCCAGGTATTTTGACTTCACTCTGTTATGGAGGTGGAGCAGAATCTGGGAGTTATATGGGGGAGAGCAGTATGAATTCTAAATTTTTGACCATTAGCTCTCAGGAACTGTGGCAAGCTTCAACATGCAACAGCTAAATTGGAGAATGAAGTTTTTGAAAGAAATGTTTATAATTCACCAGTCTGCAGGGCAAACAAGGGTCCCTGCACAAGGAGCTGACAGGAGTTCAAAATAGGAGGAAAGTAATTATTTGTGCAGTCAACTATATACAACCTCTTTCTAGGTAGAGATCTGAACAGAACACTTATGAGGTAAATAGTCACAGTAAGCATATCTCAGGAAATTTTAAAAGTGTTGGATGTAGCATAAGTAGAGTCAGAAGTCTAAGCTAAACAGAAATATAGAATATAGAAGTTTGAGATGTCATTTAATTGCAGTTTAGCAGTCAGATTCATAAAATGTTATCTTTAATCTCTTTCGCATTGCACTAAGATACAATACTTAACTCAATTGGACACATATGTCAGGGGTGTATGTACATGTTCATTTAAAGCTCTAATAGAGAATTTCAATATTTTATTGTATTATTTGCAGACCATGAGACCTGTAAAGACATGCTGCTACTGTTCTTACTGATATCATAGGCAAATTATGGTTTGTGCACCACTTCTTAAATCTGTAATCATTCCGAGTAGAGCTTTCTATGAGCACAGCAATTCACCTACCCACAGTAAATTGGAGGATTAGCATTTACTCTAATCCATCAACAGCACTGGAACATGCCAGAAATTGCAGAAAAAAATTAGTATGAACCTGAAAATTAATTCTATACCTCCTGTACATGATAATACCTTTCTAATAAGCAAAAAAATATCAGTATTCTAATATGACTGGTTAAAGAGTTCTCTAAATTGCTAATACTAAGTAGTTAAAATATCTAGACTTATTGAAAATTCTAAAATTTTTCATATTATACATTTAATTAGATACATATTTATTAGCTACAAAATTGTAATTATAAATTGTTTACCTGACTACTCAGGTGCAGAAACAGACTTTGGTTTTAGAATCAAAAAAAGCTGTTCACAATTTATAATTAAACTATTCTTACTGTAATTATAGCACTAACAAAACACATATCAATCAACAGATATCTCATTATATAATTTCCTCAATTTTCTGTTCAGAGCATTTCTGAGATCAACTTTAGTTTTGCTTAAAGTCCTCTTAGACATATTTGTCATTTGGATGACTTTTAAGAGTTTATGATTTTCCTTTAAAGAAAAGTTTTCACATTAAAAAAAAAAAGTAAAAATAGGCCAAATTACAAGTAAGAACTACTTGAAATATATATATCCATTTGTTCCTGATGTAGCTAGCAGTAAGTGACAATCTGGCCTGCTATTTTTTATCGTAGTTATCCACCTGTAATTCTACCTCTTCGATTTTCATTTGTTCAGTACTCACAAATTTATAAATCTTTATATCATAATATGTTAATTTTTGATTATGATAATCTCTTCAGTTAACCTTTACTAAACTATCACAGTTTAGGCAAATAGAGCATAGAAAAAAGGGCAATAAGTAAACACAAGCATCAAATACTGTATAAAATAAAATTGGAACAAGAAACCTGGAAAAAGAACGGAAAGACCTCTTTGTCATATCTGGTTCTGGAAACTGTTCTATAGCTCTTACACCAGTATCCACAGGCTCAGTGAAAAAACGACTGGGTGTTCTGGTACCTTTTGACCCAAGAGGTTGCTAATCTGGATTCTATTTGATGCCTTTAAAAGAATTCTCTCTTCTGATAATTCAGCATTGAGGAGGAAGCCATTTGTCTACTTTCCTTGGCATCAAGCCAAATTTCCTCAAATCAATGACTAATGCCCCTTTTGTCTCTACAAAATGTGTATGCATGCAGTTTGTCACTGCAGCATTGCAGGATCAACAAACTGGGTCCACAAGTACATCTCTTTTAGTGTCTAAAAGTTTAGACTCTCCTTTCTGCAGCAGTTGGGGTCTGTTATGTTGGATATGATGGAAAAGAAAGGGAAGAAGGTAAGGAAAGAAGCTTATGCTTTTCTTCAGATCCCTTTTGCCATCCAAGTTAGCACAAATTAGTTTTAACCAGTGACAGCAATAACACATATTCTCTTTAAATTAGTAAAAATTTCATAAACTAGCCTATACTAGCCACATGTGAACTCCAATTTCCCAGGCTCTTGGGACCTTGGATTTTAAATTTTTCCTTTCAGAGATTTTCTGGCTTCTTAGAGACAATTCTAGCAAATATGCTTATCTATGAAAACCATTTTTTCACAATGAATTTAAAGCTCAGAAATGGAACCCACCCCTAATATTATGTTTGACAGTGAGAGGGATACAAGAAGCTACTCGTAAAGATGTCTACTTGCAAAATAAAATAAGATGGCAGGAGATGTCTGACAGTGCTGTGTTAACATTGAGTGAATTGTCAGACAGACAACATATACCACAAACAGGTAGTTTCACACAATGAGGAACAATACAGAATTAAGTCAAGTCTACCTGCAGAAGAAGGAGAATACCAAACCCCGCAAGGTCAGTAAGCATAAAGAGCTCTGCTTCATGTCTGGTTTTCTGCTTTCTGAACCAAAATTCTTTAAAGAACTGCTTCTCTTTCTGACCTCCCTACCATGCTCTATCAGCATGTGAAGACAAACTCTCCTAGGCAGCAGATCTTCTAGTCCTCTTGACACCAAAATACATGTAAGCTGGAGATTTAGTTACTGTCCATAATAAGATTCCATCCAATAGAGAATAAAAGATTGAGGGAGAAAAGGTGTAATCAGTAGCATTAAATGGCCTGAGAAGGAGTCTCCCTTGGCCGGGCTGTGACAAGGTGTCTTCTGAAGTGGAAGGTGTACAACACTCCCCTTCAGTCAGGCAGCTGGAATTCCTGCAGTGGCTTGAATGGCTTTTGTTTTTACTCCTCTGCACAACAAAGAATTATAAAAGCCACAGTATTACATAAATTATTTAGCAGTCCCTCATTATTTGTTTTTTCTCTTTCCATGAAGTACAAAACATTAGAAGCTTTCAGTCTGCATACTGAAAATATTTAATTCAAAGACCAGAAGCTACAGTCAAGACAGAAACATACACCACTCATTTTCACAACTAAGTCTTGTTTCAGCGTGCTTGTGTTTTACCCACTCAGGTATCAACAAAATCAGTACCAATGCTAGGGATCAAGTTATGAAATTCAAATTACTATCTTCTCTGCCAGATAATGTCTGTGATTGCAGCATTGCTGCAATTGCAATGTAAAGAAAATCGAGTTGGATTTTTACTTACCATACAGAAGACAGATTTTGGCTGTAGGGCTGCATATATTGTTTTAACTACTTCTAACGCATGAACCTTATTTCCTGAAGCTCTTATACTGAGTATCATTAATGTTTAGTTATTTACATTAGTGTAGTTTAGTTATTACATTAGTTTAATGCTACCATCCCAGAGGCAGCTGAAAGGAAATGTTTCAACTCATGAGTCCAGTGATAACAGAGAACTTATAGAACAAAAAATGCAGTAGCTTAGACCCTACACAAATGGAAATCTGCACAAACTGATGGAGGTCTCCAGCAGGGGAAATTCAGAGGCAAAATGTGTGGCATCAGCAAATGATCAAAATATTTGCTCTGCTTTGTGCATTTTGGGGTTTCTAGTGGAAAAATTGTTCCCCAAGTGTGAGAAAATATTCAAAAGCATATCACAGAGAAGACATGATAAACTCCTGACCATAACTGAAAAGTGACTTTCCAATGAAGCAAACCAATTCCTCTTGAAAGAAAGGAGATGGTGGAAATCCCCTTCCCCACAGCCACTCTGAATTTCTACCCAAAGCACGGGGGAAACGAGCAGTGCCATAGCCAATGCATCATAATCCTTGGCACTGTAAATAACCTGTTTACCTTCAGCAGCAGAGGCACTATATAGCATCTGTGGAATACCTTTAGAAACCCAGTATTTCAAATCTTTCCAGCAAAAATAGGAGTGCCATTTCCTTGCTTCCAAAGCAACAAATGTAACATGTATTTATTTGTAACATCCTAACATCAGCTTTCAGAGCAAAAATCAGGCAAATACCTAAAAGAAGGTGTCAAAGTTTGAGTGATTTAGGATACACTAGTTTGACAGAGTTTCTCTCCAACAGCCTGCAGATATTTATTTATTGATTCAAAAGTCTACAGTGAAAACTGCATTTGAGAGGAGTGGATTAGACACAGCAGGTGCATAAGTGGTCCCTTCAAATAGTCCTTCAATCAGTTTCTAGCATTAGTGAACACCAAAATAATTGACAAAAAAACAGAGACACAGCAACCTCCTAATAGCTAAGCACCTTTTAATATGGACTTCTTTACTGGTACTCTCAAAAGGCAAGGTACCAATACTTCCTATAGAATTGCAGTAATTTACTTACCCATACATACTGACAGGAATGATGAAACAGCTCCAGAAATGCTGATTCTGAAGATAACATTTACAAAATCATATCAGAGCTATGGAAGTGTTAACCTGAAAGGACTTACCTGCATTTTAATTTGGATAATAACTCTCATTAGTTATACATCTTTTAAATGAGGTGGTTGAACCTTATACAGTCTGACATTAATTCTAAGTACCATTGTAAATGAGAACGATGTACTGCATTATGAGAGCAAATACTCTTCACCGCTTAAAAATAACTCTCCCATTTGCTAATTGGTCATTTTAACAAACAGAGGAAAACTATCTTTCCCAAGGAACAGAACAAAAGCCAAGGAGAAAAGCTACTCACATTCCTTTGAGCCGTTGCCACATTTTCTCTGCATGTCCTCCTATTTGATACTTTGCAGAGGCGCTTTCCAGTTCCCGAGTTGTTTCAGTCGCTCGAGCCCCCATCGTTATTGTCCTACAGCGATACAGTTACAGTCAGGCTCAGCAGCAAGTAAAAGCAGTCTTTAGTCCACTACAAATTTCAGAAGATCCACGCATGTTAGACAGTAGCTGCTGTCATATCAAAACACATCAGAATTACAACAGCTGAGGGACGATCCTGCCTGAATTGCTATTCACTGACAGACAAATCCACTCTTCCCCCCCAAGCACAGAGCAAGTACACACAGCTCCTCTGACCTCACGAGTCTAATCCATACGGGTGAGCCAGCTACTATACTACTGGCTGCTCAAGCTCCTTTCTCATGCACTTTTCCTGCTGTAGGAATACACACAGCGGCACAAAAGATTCCTTAAAACGGACTATGATTCACTGCCATGAAGGATAAATGTGAATGGCTTTTACAATCCAGAAGGAAAGAAAGGCTGGTTTCTGCTCTGCAGGTTGGAGAAACAGGCTGCAATAGGAAAGCAGATGGTAGAAGCCAGTATCAGTCACATCACCCTACAAAAAGAGTATATGTTCAAATGTCAGAGCTTTCCTCTCTTTAGTTGATCCTGAATTGTTTCTTAGTGAATAAATATCTAGCAGCCTCTCAAAAAAATATGACTGTACAAATGCTAAGTCTGCAGCAAAGACATATATAAATCCCTGCAGAAGAGAAATCAGAGAGCGCTACAGGTTATTGAAGGAATATGCTGTAATGATGACTGTTCACCTTCTCCTAGCAACTCCACACAGTAGGTAACTGTCAATTTAACTGGTGGAAAACGCAGCAGCTGCAACACAGCCCGCTCTGTGAATCCGTCGGGACAGCAGCATGTGTGTCAAAATCTGATGCTGAACTCTGTGTGTCTGCCAGCAGAAAAACAATTCAGTGCATGCAAACAGCAAAAGGGTTGAGGGCTAATCAGTACATCAGTCGTGCAGCAGATTGCCTGCTCTGCCTTTCAAATGCAAACCTAAGAAGCTAGCTGTTCAGCCAAAGTCCGGGTTTGGAGAGGGCAAAGGAGAGGATTTCCTTGCTGCTTGCCCAGTCACAGACTTGGGTTTGCAGAGCAGCTTCTCCACTCTGTAAATAGCACCTGTCTTGTTCGGTGAGTCAGTAACAATCTTCATTTCTGAAGCAGCAGCCAAATAATCAAATATATCCAGACTTATCTCAGTGATCATGTTTGTTTCAATCAGACTAAGAGCTGTGCAAGAAGCCAGGCAAAGAGGAGTGTGCCAAGTGGGAGTAAATATGTCTGAGCTTTGTCAGCTACTGGTGCCACTGCCAGTTGGGAAAAGGAGCTTTGGGTCCACGATGGAAAAGTGAGGATGAGCATCCTCAGATGGTGACTGGAATGAGCCTAAGGGTAAGGGATGGATATCTCGATATGATTTGAACTAAACTGCTTTATCTGTGTTAAATTTTACAACAATGTGAGATGATGAGAGGTTCCCATCTGATGCAATTGGCAGAAATGGATAATACTACTAAGTACTGAGGTTCTTACAGAAAAAATAAAAAAGAATCTCACTGCTTTGAAATAATCTTAGCACTCCAGAATTTCCTAATCAATTTTCTTTCTCTAGGACATCTTTTATGTACATTAAAGAGATAAAATACACCCTATGAAATTTACAAACCAGTATGAGATGCATCTTTTGTGTGATGATTTCAGGTGGATAATTAAACATGCCCACTACTTCTATGGGTTTAACACATAGATAATTTTAAACTGCTATTAATTCATGGACTTTCACTGCATTATTCCTGACTCTGACACACAAGAGTCAGTCCCATAAAATTCACTAACAATATCCAAAAAACAGTCACTGGAAGAGCAAAATCACAGTTTTTAAACAGCATCATAAGACAACAATAAAGAAACACAAACACATGTTTTTTCAAAAACTCTAAGGCAGTTATTTGGTCAAAGGCAGCAGTAGTATATTTGAACCACTTAAAAGCTCCAAACTTTCCACTCCTGTTCTGTGTGGAATACAAACAAAGTTTGTAAGAAAAAGTATAAATATCCTTCCATGGAATAATTAATGAGAACATCTCACATGAATCTGGGCTCTTCCCTGACTTTTAAGTGTCAAATATCTGAAGCAACGCAAAGAAATTAAGTATTTATAGAAACCACATAAACCTCCAGGGACAGAGGGAAATTTTAAGGGCCTCTTTTTTTCTTATGAAGTATTTTCAGTTCTTGTTGTCTAATTCTACAATGACAAAAAAAAAAGTGGTGTTTGCAACCTATTCGATCTCCCTCACAAGGAAATCAGTTTTGAAAAAATATTTCTCTGATTTTCTGGAGAAAAGTATGAGAAGGCAATATCCTTCAGGAAGGAAGGAAAGTGCAAACTGCCCAAACATCACTGTAAGTGGAGACACATCTGCTAACGTCACCAGAACTTCACTAAAAAAAATTGTAAAAACTCCCTGAAGGACCATGCCACTGCAATAATAAAAATTCCTACAAGCAAAAGCACCTGGCATGGCTTAAGCAAAGGACAAAGAAAGCTGCCTCCACCCCAAAGGTTTATCCCGAGAATGAACAAAGTAAGCCATCAGAGATGACACTGAAGGATGAAAATGTATCTCTGAAAATGAAAGAAAGAGCAGGAAACACTTAAAAAGAGATAGATAAGGCATTTGAAAGTCAAGAAAGTTGCCAGAGAAATTGTCCTGTGTGTCCCTAAGGAGAGAGAAACAAACCACCTAAAACAAATAAAACAACAACTTTTAGGTATGCCATTATCTTGAAAACATGAACAAAAAATCCTTATTGAGACACTTGGAAAGGAGAGACCTTTCTTCCCCTGAGCTTCTGTGAATAACACTCAGAGAATGAAGCAGCTGAGCCTACTCCCTTCCTCCAGCTCAGCAGAAGGCAGGCACGGCACCTGGGAATGACAGACCCAAAGCAATGCCTACACACCTCTGGCTGCAAGTGGTGATCTGGGGCAGAAAGCACAGAACTGTGCCACTGGAATATAGAACAACCATACATACAGTCTGTACATAGCAATGAGGGAAGCAGAGGAGGAATTACAGACAACCTGACTTGCTCTGAATTACAGATCTGTGCCCCTGCAGTACAAGCAGGTCTAAAGAAGATCCAGAATACCAAACAATGAGTAGCTACTTTAGGAAGCCAAGCCAATCAGAGAGATAGCACCTGAAATGAGAAATTCTCCTTAATAATTTTCATCTTTGCACTTCCTGTTCTTGTTCCAGTTTTCTATTCTTGCCTTACCTAACCCATTGCTTGTGCTACAGTCCCGGCAAGTTATTGTTACAGTCCACTTTCCTCCTAAAAAAAACTAAAAAATAATCTTTTTTGCCCTTTGCCCACAGCTTTTTCTATTTTTTTAGATTTCATCTTAAAACTCTCATATTAAAGTCAACACTAAAGGAAAGCCTCTGTTAGTCAACATGGAGATACATTAAAATGGAAATCATTAAATTCACCCTTAATTATGGCAATCATAAAACTATCCCAGTGCCACTTAATCCTAAGATAGGAAAATTTACACTACACTTCTCTTCTTTCATCTAAAAATAATTCGCTTCAGTAGTAACAGCAATGCAAAAGAATAATTTTACAATACACACACCAGTAAAAAAAGCAAGTTGGTTTTTCAGTATTGAGAGACCTTCACAGTTATGCTAAAATCCACACAGTTGCAATGAAAAAAAACTTACCTTGAAATGGGGAAAATCCTGCAGCTAGATCAGTTTATTAGCTATAGAAAAAGGAAAGGGATTGAGAAAGGTTTTGATGAGGAGAATTAGGGCTTTCTTTAAAATAAATTCTCTCCTCCTGAAGGGAAATTAAATATGCTGCTTTGTTTAAAATTAATCTTCAAAACATCTAACTCACGACACATGGAAAATAAGGAAGTACCAAGAGACCTGAGGGGTGACTTGTCAAACTAATACTCATCCTTCCAAACCTGACAACACAAACCTCCCTGCAGTGAAACTGCAGGAGAGCCATGAACCAACTAAAAAAATCTGAAAACATAAGTAAAAAACCAAAGTAAAACAAACCCTAATAAAAGATAAGATAAATTTATTGTAAATAGTGACAGTAAGTATTAGGTTTGTATACTGTATGTCCTGGCCCTGATCTACCAACCACAAATATACATTTAATTGTAATCAGGTATAGCATTGCACTCATTTGCTGGGTAAGACAGAGTTCAACAGCATTGTAAATAACAGAGTTAAATCACTGAAGAACTGCCTGCCAGTGCACTCGAGTGGTAGTTACATTGTACTTTGGAACCTAAGATAGGACAGAGATCCCATCACTCAAATTCTGCTGTTGCAGAAAAGGAATGGTTTGCTGGACAGTGTCCTCATGCTTCCTTCTGCCCTCCTCATTGTCTATTATATTCGTCTTTGTGAAGTGACATGCAATCCCCTTTTGCAGAAGCAGAGTTTTTGGCTTGCTTGCAGTGCCCAAATTGTTAATCAAAAAGAGGTGCAGCAGAGGAAGAAAAAATACTTGGTCTTACTAAAGTTCATGGACTTTATTTAAATATATAGATCTTCAGCAATCTGGTGATGGTAAAATATTGATGTTACAGTAATCTTGGATTTTCAGATTCTCCACAGAATATATTAATAAAATTAGTACAGTTACATAATTGAGGAATAGCAACTTTAAAGAGCTATGCATATGGTCTACACAGTGCATTGGCATTGACTCAGTTAAGTAGGTAAAAGAGTTGATTGATATATTAACAGTGCTTAGATGACCTAAATAAGGAGACCCAACAGGGAACATTTTCTCCTTCTTTTTTTTACTTTAGTAAACTACTTTCGTAGTTTTTGCTACATCTGATTTATTGCATTTGAGGCTTGTTCATATAATCACTAAGGAATTTATATTCATTTATGTGTCCTCCAAGTACCAATTTAAAGTATAGCAGGGAGAAAAAAATATCTTCTATTTTTGCTATGTGCATGGCATATCATACTGGTAATGAACATGGTGTCAGATTCATCAAAGCTTTTAGGCAACTAAAAGTGAAAACAAATATTCATGAAAGCTTGCATACAAATTAGCTGATAAACCTCAGGCCACAAATAGATATATATTTGCACACCTACTTATGATATATTAAGACCTTGTCACATTTGATTGTTCAAATACTGCCCCTTACTAGAGGTCACCAACACCAAAAATCTGTCATGACTGTGTGTGAGTGTTCACAGACCAATTCTGTGCCAATTCAGGTTCATTAAAGCAGATGTCTCAGATCTGCACTCATGTTGTCTAGGAACTCACTGCAGTCCACAGAATTTAGATATCCAG